AGAAATTTATATGAATGAAATTTTCAATTCATTTCATTTTATTTATTTGTCTCAAACATTAAAATTTACAACAAACTAAAACAGCAAAAACAACCACAAAAGCACAAAAGAACATGAGACAGGACACCCCAAAATTCAACTTAATCACTGTCGAGTGGAGGCCCTTTTACAAAAAAAATTTTCAAATAGATTAAATTATTTAATAATTATTTATGTTTCTTTTTATATTTATTTACTATGTTGACCCTGATTGCACAATTAATCATCCAGAATTTTTTAAATGCATCAGCAATACCTGACAGCATGTAAGCGTAATTATGATACTAGAGTACTATTCACGGTAATCCCCTTCAAAGTAGTAATCGATGGGGGTACACGTTTAGTGAGCCCCTTCATAGTAGTAATTGATGGTAGTGTTCAGTGTGCCTTAATAGTCAATGAGTGATCATCTGCTTATCTTACTTAAATATGGAAACATTGAAGGAACCAATTACACGTCAACATATGCAGTTGTCGTTTCACAGATGATCAAAATTACTCCTTGCAACTAATGTGAATTTGTTGCTTAACCTTGTCTAGCTATACAACTATCTTGAGTATTGTAGCACAATTTTTATCATCCTAAACCCTTCTCTTCACAGTAAAATGAATTTGCCCTCTTAACCAACATCAGGTATTTTATACCTAAAATCCCATAGAACTTAAACCAGATACTCACTGCACTGGACGGTCATTGGTGGACATGTAGATTACGCAATACCACAATGAGCACGCAACTGATCGTTTTTAATCACGATCCGTTAGACTTACACCAACAATCGGCAGACAGCGTCGCATTGTCTAGCGCTTACAGGTAGCGAAGCTGGATTCTTCGATCGTACAACAGTTGTACGAAATCGCGAGTGTCCAGCTTTAGACACATGAGGTGTTTCTACCTTTTAAAAATTTTCCTGATTTCCAACCATCATTTGGGACATTAGGCCTTTCTCTGGTAATTGCTCTTTAATTGGATTATAATCACAGCTTCTGTAATTTATTGCCTATGCAAGGTCAGCTATACGGGTGTGTTCGAGCCAGAAAAACACCCGTGCGTTGCTCAAACGAGGGTAAGATGTAAAAAACATCTGGAACACGCTCGCCGATTTTGACCACCAAATTTAGGGTTATAGAACCGTGTATCGCTGTCAAAGGCCATTATCGCGACCATTAATCATGTTTTAATGACTCTACCGTCTGACGGTCAACATGAATTCAATTCAACACACGCGAAAACCATAAGTCTGTCGAGTTTTACAAAAACAAATGCATTCGCTGATCTGTTGTTAATGTTATAGCATCATCATGTCTGTGTGGACCGAACCTATGATACGTTACCCTCTCTCATTGTGGAGGGGGGGAGACAGAATACAAAGACAACTGGACGGCACCCGCCGAAACAGCGATATTTACAAAGAAATAACTGCAAAGATCGAAGAAAAATTTAGGGGAAAGCTGACGGTGACACAGGTCACCAATAAACTGAAGTATTTGCGCAAGGAGTACAGCAAAGCCGAAGACAATAACAACAGATCGGGACGCGAAAAAGTTACCTGCCCATCTACGATGTCATCGACAGAATTTTGGGGACCCGAGACATCCACAATCCGATTATTGACAGCAACAACTTGCCTGGCATAAATGAAGGTGTGTATCGTAAATCGTTTATTTTTGTTCGTGGTGTGAAAGCCACCACTGATTAGTCTGGCCTTTCCCCATGTTCTCCGAAGTTCCCCGAATTCTAGGCCCCTATCCACCCTAGGCTAGGCCTAGGGCTAATTAATTCAGACCTAGGCTGATACGGAACAAACACCATATCATAAACAAAATTTCGTCGAACAACGTCAATGAATACAGAATAACAATCGAATATTTAGCAAAGTACAAGTGCCTGAAGCATGGTTAGAAACGTAAATATTACGTGGCATTATGGGATATATTATTGCCTCGCTGACCTCAAACAAGTATTTTCGGGGTATATTTTTACACGGTTAGACAAGATAAGTTTGTGCTCGAATGCGGGGACCCCCCGTGGTGTAAAGCCGTGCGTTTACCTGTCATATAAACGGAATTTAATAGGCGTGTATGGCTCAAACGCACACGACTATACCATACCATAGGTATGCCTATGTGATTTATTGACAACTTGCTGGAAAACTAATTACCAATTCGGCTCTTTCTTTTGATATTGAGTTTGATTGTCAGTTAAGGTCAGTGCAAATTGAGGTTCCTCAACCGTTAGAGCTATTGCTGAAACGGGTATTGTGGTAAAGGGAATGGTAACAGCATGCAAACCCTTTGGCTTGGACTCGCTGTTGAATCTTTTGTCGAGCTATAATGTAGGAGCAGCCTAGGGAGATAAATGTCTCCGTAATAACCTTGTGATTGGAACATATTAAAAATTTCGCTAACAGTGCCAATCCATTACATCGAGTTGTCTCTCTTTATATCCCTTGCTGGAGACATTAATATCCCTTTAATAAAAAAAAAACATTAAAATTATACTGTTCCTCTATTACAACCTTAGAAGCTATAGCTCCAATAGATCACCCTTTAATATTTATTGTCAAAATTATTATAAGACTAAACAACCAAGTAAAAACACACACACACACTAAAACAAGCGATATTATAATAAAATGTTGAAATAAATTGATCTTCTGCAAATTATCTTGGTCCTACTACTACTACTAAAAACAAATCTACAAATTACACTAAATATTGATGATAAATTAAATACAAAGCAAACCTTATTATCATAAATTTCATTGAAATAGTATACTGAAAACACTATACATCATTTGGTCAAAAAAGTAGGCCTACTTGTGGCCAGATTGCACAAAGATAAACATGCACTGTCAAGAGGCCCTCCTCACATAATGTGCCTACAGGAAGCATAAAAATTGCTTTGTAAAAAATTATGTCATCAATAAATGAACAACAGAATGTCTTTAGCTAATGACATCCCGTACATCTGCGGAAGGTGACACTGAGTGGGTGTCTCATTTCAACGATCTGACGGATCCTTGTTATTGGATATGCATGTTGTTGAAACGAAGGTGACACATCATGCATATCGTGCGACTAGTATGACAATGTGCACTGCCATTTATATTTTCGATGTAAAATTAACAGAAATGATGGGACTCATAATAGTCAAATGTATGATGCATTAAGATTAATAATGAGTAGACGAGGTATCAGATGTAATTACAAGAATTACTGCATCTGAAAATGGCTTTCCTAGCCTATACTGTAGGTCAGTGGGAAGACAATCTCTAGCTGGCAGTTTTACACTTAAGTAGACAAAGTCAGGCACATAGAGTAATGGTGAAAGTAGAATATTTGTAGAGCGCCCTCCATAATAAATCGTCTCAAGGCACTGACAGTGCTAGACCACGAATCATATTGAAAAACAGACAAAACAAACATATAAATAGAAAAAAAATAAAATAAACAAGTCATTCAGGTAATGAATGAGACAGTGGCCAAAAATGGCACATGCAGTCTGACAGTAATTGTGTTGTAGTCCACGAAAATAAATTACAAACTTATTGCAGCCCAATACCATCTTACAACTAGAAACACTTCCAGGTACAGCCCAACGCCAAACGTCAGAAAAAATTAAAATATTAAAACTGAACGTAGGTAATATATAAACTGAAACCATAGGATATGCACTGATACGAATAATATGAATGTCACTCCAAAAGTGGCTGAAAAGCATCCAAAGAATTAAATTTGTTTCTCTAGTTGATTATTTATTTTATTTCCTGAACATAAACCTGGTTCTCACACTGATAACTTAGCTCTAAATCTACAGTTGTTAATCTTTGTCTTGGCATTGTTTATTCCCAATATACATTCTCATCTTAATACCTACTGATGGTAATTTGCTCTGATTGGATAATTGCCTCATTTGAATACATGCATATTAATTAGGATTTCTGGTAACTTGTTTAGTTTGTGTCTTTGTATTATGTACTGTATTCCTGAAGATACTTAAATAAAAGTGAAATGTAGAATAATGTAGAACTCAATATTAAATAAAACATAATTACAAATACAAGAATATATAAGTACTATTCTCTGTCAAGTTTATTTTCACTGGCATTTTATAATTATTTTTTGCCATACTCACTTTTGCCATTACTATTCTTAATTTATGTTAATGATTTAAATAATGTTAGTGACACACTGCAGGTAATATCTTTCACCAATGATACCACTCTTTTTTTATTCTAATCAAAATATGGATGTATTATGTAATACAGTAGAACCCCTCATTTATGAACCCCGATTTAACGAATTCCCAATTTTACGAACGTAAAATCATGTCATTGTTGTCATAAATAAAGTTCCTATTTCATGTACAAAACACACACGTGTTAAGAATTAATCGTTAGGCGCAAGCTGGAGTTTATTTACTCGGTCTTAGATGGTTTGCTGTACAATATCGGTGATCTCTACTACAATACAAAATGCAGATAGTGCGCTTTGAATACACCGACATTCAACACGGCGATCATACTTAGGCTATGTCTGCAGACGTGACAAAACTTCGCCCATTGCGTAAGTTGTCGGCATATCGATAGGCGCATGATTTATTCATCTCTGAATACACCACCCTCATATCATAATTTAATGAACCCCCTTATTATGAATGGATTTTATTTATCAAATCTAACTAACGTTAGTCTACCATATCATTATTTCCCCCATAAAATAAAACACTGACACCCACATTTTATTTTTCACTTTATTATTCATTACATAAATGTTAATATAGGCGTAGAACAATCGTATTACATACAAAAAAAAAGTCCAAGCGCCGTGTCTACAGCCAATCAGCGCTCTTCTTTTAAAAAGTTGTGAACCCCTGGTTTCCGGGTTATTCTGTACAGGGTATTTACTTGACGCCACAAGCACATGGATCGAGAGAAAAATGCTGTTGGGTTACTCACCCTGTTGCGGCGCCCGCGGGGCTGTGTTTCTTTGTAAGCTAGAAGATAAATCATATATTATTGCCTGAGAAAGAGAGAATAAAGTTTCTATACACATTAACAGGTATGTATAGTACTGTACATTATTATGATCATTATTTTGAATTTCTTTTGAGCGCAAGTTGGAGTTTTGGCTCCAATCCAACAAAATTTAAGTCCAGGTCTAGCCTAGCCCAGCCTAGCATATATATAAATACATAGGAATTTCAAACAAACCCGATTTTACATACGAATGATTTTTACTTAAAAATCTAATTATATTATTTTTCATTCTACTAAAAAAAAATTAATTTTAATAATTTTAAATGTTTTCTTAATAACAAAACTATTGAGTGTAAAACACAAACTTTATTTCTTGGTGTTTACATCCAAGAAAATTTGAAGTGGACCAGTCACTATAGAACTACATTTCCAAAAAAATATCTAAAACTATTGGCATCATTAATAGGCTCAAGTTTAGTTTTCCCGAACATATTCTACTTTCCCTTTATAATACCGTTATTTTACCACATTTACAGTATTGCAATATTGTCTGGGCTTCTGATTATCCTTCAAATTTGAATAAACTTGTTAAACTACAGAAACGTGAAGCCAGAATTATTATACCTACATCCTTCTGAACTCCATCTGAACCTTTATTCAAACGACTGAAAATTTTAAATTTATTTGATATTAACAAGGTACAACTGGCAAAATTTATGTTTCAGTATTTAATAAAAATGCTTCCTCATCCTATGTTACAATTGTTAGATACATCTCGGAAAACCCATTCCTATAATATTAGAAATGCATCTGTCCCAGTTCCCTTCGTCAGACTCGGAAAAAGTCAATTATTTGTTTCTGTTGCTGGTCCTAATTTATGGAATGATCTCGATGTTTCAATTAAAAGTTCAGTTTCTTTATCTGTCTTTAAAAGTAAAATTTAAAAAGAATACTTATTGTACGATCAGTAAAATAATAATGGTAGTTCCTTAAGTTCATCTCTCTGTTTTATTTATTTATCTATTTACTTATTTATTTATTTATTTTTATTTATTTTCTATTATTTTATTTATTTTTTTTTTGGGGGGGGGGGGAGGTCATGACGAGACAAGTTTTTGACTTCTAGTTATGATCCTAATGATGGTGGTTTATTATTTGTATTGTATTGTATACTATTATTATTTCCATCATTGAATAAATGACAAATTAAGAGACGCTTACTATCAAGTGCAGTAAATTGAAAAAACTAAAAACTAAAGACAAAAAAATACCAAGCAGTGACAGGAAGTAAGTAATTAATTTGCATATCAATAGGGCCTACTGTGTGGAGCTATAGTGGAGCTAAGCAATAATTAGCCATTCTTAGCAGATTAACTAGATAAACAGTTTGGCTTTGACTGAATAAGTTTGTTTGTGTAGTGTAGGTTTTAATTGAATAAATTTGAATTTTGCCATGTTCTTTGAACAATCAACAACACTTACGAATGCACAATCATTATATAAAGTAAGTACGAATTAATGATTCCTTATGGGCAGAATAAAATTTACATTCGATAAATTGGCGAATCACCAAAGTAATTGGTCTCATTAAAGACAGTTGTCTTAATTATTTTAATATTGTAACAGATTTCTCTCAATGGTGCAAAGACAACTACTTAAATATAAATGGATCAAAAACAAAAGAACTAATTGTGGATTATAGAAAGAACAAAAGTAATGATATTGAACCATTAAGGATTAATGATACTAATATTGAAGTTGTAGATAATTATAAATATCTGGGGATTCTAATCGATAATAAATTAACATGGGAAGAACATTGCGAAGTTGTTATAAGTAAAGGCATGTCATGTCTGCATTTTCTTAGAAAGTTAAAGTTTTTTCGGGTTGGCAATACCATACTCAAGCTCTTCTATTGGTCTATAGTTGAAAGTGTCATTATTTTTGGATGCAGCATCTGGTTCAATAGTCTAAGGAAAGTAGATTCACAAAAGCTACAAAGAATAGTTAATCAAGCTAACAAAATAATTAAAGAAAGCATTTGCTTAGAAGATGTAGTAATGACTGATAAGACCAAGAGCATAATGGCTGACAATACACACTCTCTGTCCTCATATTACAATTGGTTGCCTTTAGGAAAAAGGTTGAGGTCTATTTTGTGTAAAACCAAGAGATATCATAACTCTTTTATTCCTCATTCCATCAGAAACTATAACAACATTAGCAACAGAAAACCTGTCTCTTATACACATCTAGATGTGTATAAGAGACAGATATAACAACTCCCTGTTTCAATGATGAAGCTTTGCCAATATAGGAATGTAATTAAGAATTATCAAACAATCATTTAATAAACCATCCAGGGAGCACGGGGGAGGGGAGGGGATAGCTGATTCCCTCTTCCTCTCCCGGAAAAAAAAAAGAAAAAGAAAGCCAAGTTCAGAAAGAATGGAGCACAGTACCATATCATGTAGAGTTGCCTACGTCAAAACCTGTTCAAACCAAGCTAATTTTCGATAACACCACTGCCATTGTTTTAATCGATTTTAACATGTTATGTTTTAAATATATGAGGCATGTTGTGGCAAAATGGCTAAGTTGTAGCAAAAATTGAAATTCAAGTTATTGGTATTTTCAAATACCTGAGTATGTGATCTTTAAAATGAGTGGTCATTCATTCAAATTGGAAATTTCAAGCCTAAGTGATTGGAAAGTGAAAGTAGAGTTACTCTTATACCCGATTCACACGTGAAGTTAAATTTAACAAAAAGTAACAAATTGTAACCGAGCGATCTCCCGAGTTATTCCTACCGAGATAAAAAGCATTCACACGCGTCTGTAAGGTAATGCCAAGGTTGTGTAAAATTTATTCAGTGTTTATTCAATGAAACATTTTTTCCCCTACTGCGATATAGGTCTAGCCTAGGCCTAGTTGAGAACCCCTGTCACAGATGGACTGTTGAACTCACCATCACAATAAACATTCGAAGCAATCAAAATACCCTTAACAACTGCTGTACTACTACTACTAGGCCTAGCTTCCGACATTTCTGTCGACTCTTGGTAATACTATTACTAACACCATCCCGATGTTTGTGTATGTATCATCTTCTTCTACAATTACTAATTAACATCGATAACAAGGGTAATTCATCCATCATTGAGAAAAACTAGGCCTATCTATTTCTAGTGGATCGGAATCGTCTGCAGAAGGAAGAAAATTCAAGGGACCCCGCGAAACAGTAGTATCTGTCTCTTATACACATCTCTTTCCCAGACGCGTTTGTAATACATGGTTTTCCCAGACGCGTTTCTGTC